TGCGGATAGGCAGAATATGGTTGTATCATTGGGGGAAAATGTGGGGAAGTGGCAGCTGAGTGGGGAAGGAAGTGCTCCACTATGTAAGCCACTAAGTTAATGGGAGAGCAAGTGCTCCACTATGCCCCGAAAATGAGAGATCATGGAGATCATGGGGAGTAAGTGCCCCATTATGGCCTGAAAAATAGGGATTATGGGTGAGCCTAGCAACTCACACTTGTCTATAAATAGGCTGCCAAGCCTCTGCTGTGTAGCATGCGATTTTGTGCATAGCACACACACTTGTATTGTGTAATCCTTTGTTGATGAGATAAATAAAGGTTGAGAGGTATTCTTGTAAACTTGTGTGCTTGCTTGTGTTTGTTCCTTTTATACGACTTGGCAATTGTGGGAACTTCGTTGGGTGAGCGAAACACATAGTCGTAGGAAACACGAGCGAAAAGGGGAGGTAAAGCTGAGTTTAGTTGGGACTAGACTGCCGCATTGGGTTGAATTTCGTTGCGAAAAATTTAACCCCATGACCCTAACCTTATAAAATCCTGATGATTGGATTTTGGTCGAAATATACGAGAACAACATATAAGAACGCTATAAACCCGTTAGAAATGCTAAGGCATAATAAAGGTCCTAAAACTCTCTAGCAACAACTATGGGAGAATCAAGAAATGGGGTTTTGTCGTGAATTTGAGCATGTTTTAGTGGTGGTCGGGTGTGGTTTTACCTCGCAGAAAATCATTTAGAGAGAGAAAAAGGTAGACAAAGTGAATGGAAATGGTGAAAATAAAGCAAAAGACGAACTCCTTGCCTTGTATAGATCTACCAATATAGCGAAAAATGTTGGCTTTGTTTACTTGAATGGACGGTTCATCCCTATTGCCCCTCTACACGTCCACCACTAATAAGAGATTGGCAAATAGATGGCAAGTATTTTGAATTTCAAAAGGCACCAATCCTCGGCTTTCACTTATACACCTACACACAGACCCCTCGGCTTCCAGCACAGACATAGTCACGACAAACCCCGAGCCTAACCATTGATGACACCCGAGGAAATGGAATGACAATACGATTGAGGGGATAACATAAAGTGATCGGCTGACACAAGTAAGAAGAGCCATGAGGTCCATCATGACTACAAGCGGACATGACAATGGAGTGCACAAGGGAGACAGATACTACCCCCATATGTGAAATGTGGCACGACTACTCCTCCTTAGGTAAATTCTTTATACTAAATCAAGAATTGGGGAGGGAGGCTCTCTTTTTTAATTCCCTTTTGTTTTCTTGATTCTTGTTTACGTAATGCTTTTACTAGTAATCTTTCTCGATATTTCTTTCAATTTGCTGTTCTGATATGTTCTCTCATAGAATCCAAACAGTCACAGAAATATTCTCTCTGTTTTTTCCTTTATTCATAATGGTGGCGCCGTTACTCCACACCCCCCCGCCCCCCTTTTTTTTTAATTCTGCTCTTAAATTCTTAGAGTTAATTGTACTCCTTAATTTAAATTACTTCTCTCAGTACATTCGTATTTAATCCCCTTCGTCTCTATCAATGTAGGCCCTTTTTTAAAAAACTTCAAAGAGAAACCATTGTTTATATCGTATTATTCTTATACACTACACCAATGTAAAGATGTTCCCTTTGTTTTATATTTCTTCATGTCTCCATCCTTTCCTCCTTTTCCTTGAATCTCTACTATCATAGGACTTATCTTTTGGTTATTCTAGACATGTAGAGTTGAATGGAACTTGGAGGCTCTAAAAGATTTAATGTGTTATTCCTCTCTAATATGTACTGAACTCGCCCTGAAGTTTTAGCTTCTCCAACCAGTTTCCGATACTTGAAATTCCGTAAGAATTTTCTGAAACTAAATTTAAACTTGTGTTTATGAGAAATGGCTATTGATGCAGTTGCAATTTCACCTAATCGATAACTTAGATGGCTTCAGTTCTTTTTTCCAAATTTACTTGATACTGGCTGTCTTTGTTCATATTGAACTAATAATCATTAATCCAATAGGAGTTGATTTCTCAGGTGATAGGCGTTGCCATGCTAATCCAATAACCATTTCAAAAGGTGGCAAGACCTAATAAATATGAAACTGCAGTTTTACTACCCAAACATAAAAACAACTCTAATGTTGTTGTTATTGACAGAAATTAATAAACGAATTTCAATTTTCTTCTTTATGCATGTACAATGTACATTACAAATATTCAACAAACTACTTGCTGCCATGTCAATGCCATTTGCCTTCAAGTGCTTGCCTGTTAGACCTCAAACGTGCAAAGACTACCGTCTTTCCCCAGCCCTGTCACATGCAAAATCCACACATGTCAACATTATTGACAAGCTTTGAGGGCCGAGTGATGCACAATCTGGTTCTCCAGTAATTTTAACAATAACCCACCCACACACAAAAACAAGAGAGGGTGAAACTAGAGCAATGAAATACTAACAGTGACTTACATCATGAGTGGACAAGAAGGCTTCTCGGAGAACCTCCACATTCCCTGCACACTCAATGCTGTAATCCACACCTCCACTAGTCATTTCCCTGATTCTCTGCAACACCATTTGCTAGGATGGTTAATACAGTCACATGCTCAGCAATCTAAGATAGAGAAAACTCCATGTATATTTTAGTTGCCAACCTGGTGCACTGGCTTTGAACTATCTTTTGGGTTTACAAAGTGAGTCATTCCCATTTCCTTGCCTGCAACCATATCGAAAGACATTGCCATAAAACTCGAAGGTCAGGTCTTTCTTTTCTGGTGGGAATTGGAAATATGAAGAATCAATAAATGAAAAGGATACCTTTATTGAGCTTTTCTGGGTTGATATCAACACCTATTATTTCGGATGCTCCTCTGGCTCGTGCTCCTTCGGAAGCCTGTGATCAAAATAATTTAGGCTAAGCTTCACGTTGTTATAAATTCTACTGATCTTCTTATATATGCTTATATAAAGCATGATTTGTGATATATCTAGTGCCTTGTAAGTATTGAATGAAAGTATGTTTTCTGTTTGATATTTCAATAAAAAGAATGAATGGGAGATTGAATTTTTGTGTCGCCAATAAAATTTATTGAAATTATATTTAATTTCAAATAAAATTAAAATGTAAATTATTTTGAAAGGAGTGGAAAATGTTCTGCAAAACATGGCCAAAAATTTCCCACACTCACATGCCCTGTTCATGTCTCTCTTGGGAGAATAGAAAAACAAATGAAAAGGAATTCACTTACTGCAAGTCCCAAGGCCCCTAAACCAAAAATTGCCACACTAGATCCAGCTTGTACATTGGCAGCATTCCATCCGGCTCCCACTCCTCCTCAGGTTAAACATCAAATTCACATGTCCGAGATTAGAAAAACACGCATTCAGAGTGAGCCTCCAGAGATTTTTGATATGACTAGGGAGCTAGGTGCCTAGGCCTTCAAGAACAAGAAGAGTTCAATGAATTTTCGGTTTCTTACCGGTAGAGACACCACAACTTAACAAGCTCATCTTCTTGAGGTAAGCATTAGGATCAATCTTGACAGCACAGGCAGAATCAAGCACAGAATACTCGGTAAAAGTCGATGTGTTGAGAAAATGGAATATGGGCTCTCCATTCATGGTAGAAAACCTACACTTTCCATCATTTTCCATCACACTCTTGAACGGGTTGACGCGATAAGTTTGGCAGAGATTGGTTGTTTTGTTTGTGCAGTAGGGGCAGTGGCCACATTCTCCATTGAAGATTGGAATCACATGGTCGCCCGCTTTAAGGTCCGTGACACCTTCACCTACACTCTCAACCAGCCTGCAAAACGCATCCAAGTCTCCTTAAGGTGGTAATGAAATATAGAAAACACGACATTGATTGATCAAACAATAATATTAGGAACATGTCTTACCCAACAGCTTCGTGTCCTAGAATCCGAGGATATGCTCGCTGAGCTTCATTCTTTAGAACAACGACAACGTCAGTAACTTTATTGTGATCAGCACAAGAACTTAAACTGCATCATAGTAGATTAAGGTTAAAGTTGTTTAGTGTTATGTTACCTCGCCTTTCCAAGCGCTTAGATCAGTGTGGCAGATTGAAGTGTAGAGGATTTTGATTCGGACCTCCATCTTCTTCGGGGGATCAACTCGGATTGTTTCCATAAGAAAAGGTTGTTTCGGACCCCGAACAACGGCAGCTTGATGACCATAAAAACCAACGAAAAATACGAATCAATAAAGCAAGTTTCAATCAGGGATCGATCAACATAGGATGCTAATCCAAGCTGCAATTCTTACCATTGCAAGTGATGACGTTCCCTGACGTCGCATTCGGATCGAACAACTTACTTCGCGGGACATTACCGTGCAAGCCCCGCGACGCCGATCCTAGTAACTTAACGAAGGCTTGAGATGAGTTTGAGTTGCATCTAGGCAGGGTTTGTGTCAATATTCTTCTTGCTTGCAAAAGCATTGCCATGTTTTGATAACTCTTGGTATGTTCGATACTGCAGCATGCATGTTTTACATGCATATATTCATAGTATTTGGGTAGCTAGCTAAAAAGAGATGTAAAAGTCGTATGATCTTAATAAAGGAAACGAGCACGCTATAATTGACTTGAACAACCATGGATTACTATTGAGAAAAGTCTGAAGCGAGTAATTCAACCAAAATTTGGGTGTCCAGTCAGCACTCTGGCTGAGGATAAATTATTGTTCTAATGAGGGGCAATGCTTTTCCTTTTTTTTGCGTAGTCTAAATCGAGGATGAGGACAAGTGTTTCAACTTGAGAAATGCGGGAAAATTATTTATTTTGAGAAAAAAGGAATACTGAAATTTGGGTTGAGGACTATAACATCTGACTTGCATATATAAATGTGTGTATATATATAGTCAATCAAAGGTAAAAATCTCTTCAAAAAGAGACAGCTTAGGTTAAAAAACATGGATGCTGGCTAAATTTGGATGCTTCCTTTACTCTGAATTGTGGACAAGATATCTTAATCCTTGTTGGGACACTCTTATTTTGGAATTATGATTCAAACTTAGAAATTCTATCCTTATTATATATGTAATTCAAATCCATTAGACCTCTTATTGAATAAACAAAAAACCGGAAATTCTAACGTTATTAATTTACTCCTAATGCCGCATTTCACCGATTCATGAGGAAGCAAGGTTTCTTATGCGTTGATGGTTTATGCTCCACCCAGTGGCGGAGGCAGGGGGGGGCTGGCAGGGGCCCCGGCCCCTGCAAGGAAAATTTTTCCAGCCCCTTCCTTGGTTTTCATTTAATATATATTTTAATAAAATAAATTTTTTTAAAATGATTCTTTTAATTTGGCTCTCCTCAATTATTTTTTCTTGCTCCGCCCCTGGCTCCACCAATAATGAAGTTCTCACAACATCAAAATATAATGACTTAGCTGATCGGAGTCATGAAATATGGAAGCGAAGTCTTTGTTTATTAATGGGATAAACATAAGTAAACTGGAAGCCGTTCAATTTACCAGCCCATAACAGCCTTGAAAAAGTCATAATCTTCGAAAGATTTTCAGCAACCTCGATCAAACCTCATCGACAGTGAATAGTAAATGATTCCAGTTTAATATTTGCTCATTTGCTCATTTGTCATTTGTATTGTTAGTCCCTCTTTTCTCTTACAAAAGCTCCCACATTTAAAAAAAAAAAAATCCATCCCCTCTATTCTAAAAATATTTATGCAACATGTATTGTTTATTATCTTTATAGTAAACTTTTTTTTTTCAAATATTAATTAATATTATATATCTACATTATTAGATGCTAATTAAAAAATATTAATATGTCAAGATTATTTTGGTCTTGATTATATTAATATATATATTATGTTTGGATTTACTAGTAGCAATATTTATCTTACTTGAATGATTAATTTGCTGTGACTTTGAAGTATATATAAATATAAAGATAAAAGAGATCATCATGGTTAAGCTGGGGGATCACGAAGTTCAAATCTTAGAGGGTGTTTAGTTTGTAGGTGGTTTTAGTTTTTTTGGATGGGATTCATATAAAAAGCATGTATTTTTAATTTTTTAAAATGTGGTTTGTGCTTTATAAGGATTATACCTTAAAAAAAAACATCACACTTTCAAATCAAATACCCTTTTAATATAGTATGTAAGAAGTAAGGTTTTTATGAATTTTGTAATCCTGAAGTACATAGATTTTCTTTAATTAAATTGAAGAGATTGGCTTAATCCCGGAATGTGAAAACTCATAAAAAAAATACATATAGATAGACAGATAGATAGAGTTAAATTGCATTTTTGGATCATTTTTAGAGGTGCGAGTTTGGATTGCAATGGAAAAACACTCAAATCGTATTGGATGTTTTGTCGAAGATAAAATTTGCAGATAGCTAGAAATATAATTAATACTCTTCGTGAAAAAGCTATGAAAATAACAAACATGATGTGAATCTATATTTTTGGTCTAGTCAAATTAAGAAAAATTTAAAAAATTATATAAAAAACTATTCCTTATACTTCGGAATTTTATTTGTTGAACGAAGGAGCACATCTCTGACTATGAACCTAATCATATATATGAACATGAATGAACTAATATAATTGAAAATGAATCAGGCATGCAACCTTTGAAAATTTTAAGAGAAAAATTCACAAGATTTTAATATTATAGTTTTAAACTTGTAACAGCCTTATTCTTTGATCTAGAAGCTATTTTAGTTTAGATTTAAAAAAATAAAAAAATTAACATGACTTAATTTAATTAAAAATCCGAATTAACCTGAGACTCGGACTCGGACTCGAATACTCTAGATAAAATACGGTTGAAAAATCATTATTTTTTTAAAATTCAACATAATATATTTTATTTTTAAAAAAAAATTAAGCCGAACCTCTTAACTTAAAACACTGGTCTTATCCCAAGTTAATGCTGAATCAAGTTTAAACCATGCTTAATACAACAGAGAATACAAACATAATAGCAGGAAAAGGGGTTGAATAAGAGAGGGGGAAATGTAGTCGAAGAAAGAAGATGTTGCTTTCCATTCTTTCCCTGAAACAATGGGAAAATTAAATATTGACACACTGTCAGTGTTTGATGAATGGGTTCACAAAGTTGAATTGGCCCGGTGTCTGCATTCAGACAGTTTTGATTTAGAATTAGATCATGATTGGAAGCCAATATTTATGATGCAAGGGGTCTGTCTCCCTGTGAAGAAACTATATATTTATAGCTAGTTTGTTTGTGCCTGCACATGGTATACGCGACATTTTGATAGTAGTTAGCATTAAATGTGAACAGAAGTGGGACTCGCACACCATCAATGGAGACACGAGATGGCCAGCTAGAGGAAGGTAAAAGGATGGTTACAATACCTCGTTGGTCCATGACGTGGCTTAAGACTTGCTTATAAGTTGGGTGAATTAACTGGTATTGATGTAAAATAACTTTTAAAAACAATTAGAAGCTAAAATATAAGAAATGTTTATGTAAATATTGGAGTTGTAGCTAGATAAAATCTCTACACAGAGACCCTATATCCATGCAAATTAATATTAAGATAAATAAATTCTATAAAAATTTTTTTTTATTAAAATAAAATATGTTACATCAATCAATCTCATAAAACAACAAAAAACATACATATATAAAAAGGAGTTTGATAATCTAACCCAGCTTTCTCAGTTATATACTCTTCATGTTGGGCAGCAATGACCCTGACTAGTAACATGTCAACAAAATCAAAAACCAGGGCTAGGTGGAAAACTGCACTGAAATTCACTTGAATTCCTCTCAAGAGAATAAAGAAATATAAGTTAGACATTCTAAGAAATATCTTATCTTTTATAGTCTCGATCAAAGTTATTAACCCTTAAAAAAAAAAATTCTTAAAACTTCCTAAAAGAGTCCTTTAAAGCTTCCAACTTAGCCTAGAAATTTGGGCTTCTTCCCTAGCAACAACAATATCGATCCATGCAGTAGTAAGTTCAAACTAGATTGGGAGGCACTCACTTTAAAAAGCTCGTGTCTTAGAGGAACTACTTAGTTATAAATAATTTGAAGCAATTTTTCACTTGAGCTTAACTGAAGGGCAAAACCTTGTGTTTGGCCCTCCGGTGTGAAATAAGTCACCTTAAAGTTATGTAGTTTGATTTCTACAATAGCTTCTTCCCTTTGCAGTCATTTGAAGGTAGCTTAATTTGTCCTGTTCATAGCCACCACCTCCCTTGCATGACCTCTTTCGACCACCTAGTGAGTGCACATCATGGAGATTTGCTAAGGGTAAATGTTAAAATGGTAATCATAAATTCAAATAAAAAAAAAAACATGAGAATTCAATGGTAATCATAAATTCAAATAAAAAAAACATGAGAATTACTGACATTAAAAGCTACATGGCTAGTTATTGCCAAATGACGATGAAAGCTTTTATCAGACATTAAAAAGATGTTTAATGGGATGGTGAGGATCCTTTCCAACACTCTCATCACCTCGAGACTAGTCTCTTAAAGTTTTGATTTTTCACTAAGAGCCAAATAAGTAAAACCATCCTTGAACTCCTAACAACAGTCATAATAGAAGGCCTAACTACTACTTTTATAGCCAATAAGATAGGAGGTTGTGGTAGAGGAAATACTGCAACATGAGTCTCTATAGATGGACACAGGACATGAAATTTCAATGGGGTAGAGATTCTCCTCTTGAAATGAACAATAACATTTACAATTATTACGTCAAATTTTGCTTCTTTCCTAGTTGGGTGAAGATCACTTTTGAATTTAATTAAATGCTGAGCTCATATATATATATATATATATATAAAAAAAGGTTTGGTAAGCTGTTAAACTTATTATTTATAAACTCAGCCAAATATATAATCTAAACATATATCAAATTAATATTCTCTTAAACTCAATTGATTTGATAAAAATTACTTGCTATTTTTGTGACCTTTTAATTCAAAATATCTCCACTCAGTGAACTTTTCTAGGAGTTTGACATCAAGAAAGCATCTTGGATTATTTATTTCTTCATATAAAATATATTAATCTAAATTTATTTTTTATCTAAGCGATCATGAAGATATGTTCTCTATCAACATAAATATGTTGCAATTAAAAAAATTAACAAATTGCTGGGTAGTCTCATGACTTGAATTAAAAAGAAAAAAAAAGCATTTCATATCTTTTTAACAACTGCACCAACTTAAGAAAACAGTTTTTATCATTTGTGAGGCCTGACATATCTCCAGCTCACTACCTCGTCGGTAGTATTTCTTCGATAAAAATGTGATGGGCCGAGAAAAATATTATATGCTGTTCAAGTCTTGACCCCACGTTGCTGTACAAAAAAAGCCCATGTTCGATTCGAGTTTGGGCTCTGCAGTCAGGGAAGGGCTTAAAATTGCCTGAAGGTTTGCAAAAATTCTCTAGGTTTTGAAGTTTTAGATCTACAAAACAAGCCCATTTCGCAATAA